TCAGAGTTGTCCTTCTCCTACACTAGTTGCCATCCAAGGCTAAAGAACCCAGTCTGTCCTGCTATTTACCCATAGCTGAGAGGAGAAGAAGAGGGTTCATACCTTTTCCGAAGCACGTGAGTGAATGTAATGGATTCAACTGGAATTCGAACTCGGCTCTCCGATTCCCCAATCAAGCCGTTATTAATCCACCGTGCCTCCTGATATATATATATATATATATATATATATATATATATATATATATATATATATATATATATATATATATATATATATATATATATATATATATATTATTTATTTAAAATATGATTCCAACACGCTACATAAGAGTTCTCATGTTTCAATTTGAAACATGATTTGGCTATGAGAACTCTTATTTAGTGTGTTGGAATCATATTTTTAAATAAATAATTATATTTCTGCTCTACTTTTGTATCGAGCACTATTTTTTTTAATAACAAAAATACTAAAGAACTTTGGATTATCTACTTAACGAGTTCTTTCCTATTTTCTATATATTTTTCACACACACACACGCACACACACACACACACACACACACATATATATATATATATGTATTGGTAAAATCTCTTGTCAAAACTTCTTTTTGTGTTAACTATGTTAACTCTTCTGATGACGTAGTAGAAATAGAATTTTATGATATTGTTAAGCAGCATGGTTATCCAATGATGAATGGAATTTTGTTCAGTATAATATTCGGGGAGTATTGAATATCAATAAAAGAAAGGCATAGCAACATAAAATGTTTGATACTTTTATAAATTATAAAAATTCTTAAATTTTCTGTTGATAAGTGTAAACTATTAAAATAAAAATAGACGTAAATGTTACTTTACATACGGAATTATATACAATTAGCTCTTAAAATTGGGATCTTTTGTCCTTCTCATAAATGTTTTATCTGGGATCGGCCCAGGAGGAATGAAAAATAAATTTCTGTAAACCGATATTGGCCCAAGGATGCCTAAGTGTAGCGTAAGGATTAGCTAGCTTATATTGTTGACCATAATTAGTATTTGTTTTAGTTTTTTTTTTACTTTACATGTATTGTTCACATAGTACAAGGCGCATGAACCACTGAAGGCAGAGTATTGCTGATTGAGATTGACGCACCTAAGGGGAGGAGATAAGAAGTGTAGTTAATGAGGATATGTCGGGAAAATAACAGTTAACTCTGAAGTTAAAGGAGTTAAGATTGTAGAGATCGGGTAAGCATCCTCTCGGGAGTCTGTTGCACAAATTAGCGGTTCTTGGTAGGAAGCTGTTCAAAAGGAATTTGCTTCTTACTAACGCAAAGCGAAGGGAATGGGAATGATTCGAGTCTGGACGTGATATGGCCGATCTTAGCCGTAAAGGATTGAACTGGTAGAACAAATGAATATAGCTCATCATTTTCCATGGAAATAGCGATAGAATAGCAAGAGATATACGGCGTTTCGTCTGTGGGTAGATGTTGTATAGTTGAAAATGGTTCAAAATCTACACGACGCTTTTGAACTCTATGAAGAGTGGAAAGTAAGGGCCGGACTGTTTCATCATCGCTATGACAGTAGTGCCCCATCTTTGTCTGTAAACTGTTATGAAAACACAGTTGTTCCTCGACTTACAACTGAGTTCCATTCCTACGATGCGTCGTAACGTGATTTTCCGTGGAGAGCCGAGTTCGAATTGCAGTGGAATCCATTACATTCACTTACGTGCTAATAACCATGGGAAAGGTATGGATCCTCTTCTCACCCCAGCTATGGGTAAATAGACAAACCGGGCTCTATAGCTTTGAATGGCAACTGGTCTACCGCAGAAAGAAATGGCAACCTACTGCGTGAAAAAAAAATCTGCCTCGTCAGTCATGATCAAAAGATACATGATCGCCTAAGTGTATCATGCATGGCATATAGCTGACTGATATCGTTTTTGCTCTCAGAATCAAACTGTATAAATGGATAGTGGCTCAGATTGAGGAATGAGAGAGCTGAGTTCGAATTCCAGTCGAATCCATTACATTACGTGAATGGGAAAGGTATGAATCCTCTTCTTCTCCCCCAGCTATGGGTAAATAGCAGGACAGACTGAGTTCTATAGCCTCGGATGGCAATTGGTCTACCACAGAAAGAAATGGCAATTTACTGTGGGAAAAAAAAACTGCCTCGTCAGTCATGTATCGAAAGATACATGATCGCCTAAGCGTGTATCACGCATGGCACATAACTGACTGACCCCATTTTTGGTCTAATGTAACTCTTGTAAAGGCGGAATCAGTTACTGGATAATTACAAGGAACCGAGTATTTTTCCCTAGCTTTAGCGACGGTTCGTATATACGATATTCAAAGCAAGATATCATTGAGAGAGTAACCATTCATCATGTTAGTTCAAAATTCAGGGTTTCCTCTGTGAAGATGGAATGTTTGGTGAGTTAGTTCTTCATAGGCTGTCCAGACCCTGTGCCAATATTAACTCACTCACTCAAGTCTCTTAGACTCCCTTAAGTGTATGGAGCTACAGCTCTCAGCGCGCTAGGCATTACTACTGAGTTTTCCATAGCGGGTGGATTTTTACGGGATGGAGTTGCTAGCCCATTTGGAACCGGTTTTGAATTTAGAAATGCCCTTCTAAACTGGTTACCAACTAAGCAAAGAGTCCAGCCTGTTTTACTATTTAACCCATAGCTAGAGTTGAAGAGATGGATTCATACCATTGCCAAAGATATTTGCGCGTAAGCAGATTTTGAACTATTCCCTTCGATTTCTCATTCCGTGCCGTTATCCATGGCACCACCAGCACATCCTTATTCTGATAAGACTATTTGCTAAAAAGGAAGGAAAATCTATCGTTTCTCTGTTTAAACATTTTTCTGTCTTTTCTTTCCGTCCTTTTTATCTCTTTTCTCTCCATTTTCAATGAATCAAATCTCCACTAACACCTACCTCACACTGCCAAATCTCGTCAAATGATCTCGTATCAATGAGAGTCCATGTCACACGAAAAGCATCTCTTCTTCTCTACTGACGGACACAGCTGAGGGACTAGCGTTCCCAGAAAGACGAAAGAAGCCCCCGAAGGAAGAAAGATCGTTTACAAGAAAAACATTTAGCGACAGCTTGATACTCTTCATGCTTTCATTCACAGCCAATTCGATTTCTCCTCCTCCTCCTGTTCATCTCGCTCTGTCTTCTTCCTGATTGCTATCAATTTCTCCAAATTTGAATTTGAGATCTTAATTTTTGCCACTTGAACATGAATCAAGTACGCATGCGTAAAAATAGGCGTAGATGATGGTACCCGATTGCTTGTTTATACAAATACGTATATATTTGTGTGTATTCATCAACATACAAGTTCGCATGTATGTGTATGCGTGTGTGTGTGTGCTTAGTAAGCTTAAATTCGTCCGGCACATCTCTAAATGACGGTTGGCAAGACAGTTTATAAATTGGCGGTTTTCCCCAATCTCCCAAATGAAAAATTAGTTAAAAATTACAGCTTCCTACCTTAGCTTCGACATCTGTGCCTATCATGACCAGTGGTTGTTCTGTCTAGAAGGTTCCTTGCCTTGAAAGCTTATTGTAATTTAGATTCAACCCAAAGATGTATATACAATTCATCGTTAAAGATGTTGGAAAAATAGCCGTTTCCTTGTACCGTTCTAGTAAATACCTGACTCCGCCCGATGGGCTCTCTCTTTACAAGAGTCAGATAAGACTACAAAAATAGAGTTCTCCTGCTTATATGTGAATTGGAGCTGACAAGTCCTCGCTTTCCAGTCTTAATAGTGTCCAGAAGAGTCTTCGCGGCCTTGTGGGTGATGAATCATTTTCCACTCTACAAATGCTTTCCATCAAACGATACGTCGCTATTCTGTTGCTATTTCAATGGAAAATGTTCTGATGAGCGCCATTCCTTAGTTCCACCAGTTCTAAACTTAACAGCTATAAACTGTCATGTTACATACACTGGGATGAATCATCCACATTCCCTTCGTATTCCGTTAGTAAGGAGGAAGTTTCATTCGGACAGCTTCTTCGCAAGAACGGTTATTTTGTAGAGGGTGCTTCCTTGATCACTACAATCTTAACTTTTTCAAGTCTTGTGTGTCTGTGTATGTGTGCATGTACGTGAGTGCGTGTGTATCTGCATTTAGTTATAGTGATTTTTCCAAGCGTAGCTCAGATGTGGCACAAGGCCGAAAGTATGGAGCACCCAGTGAGGATCGAACTCACTACTCGGTCGTAATTGTTCTAGCGAGACAAGCTTGTTAACCATTACACCACCTCGAGGCGCCCTGCGTTTAGTTATATGTATATATCTGTTACTAAATCGCTAATCATTACGAGACCAGCTTGCAAATCATTTTCACTTTGAAAGACGATCCCGAGCAGTTAATTTTTTTTATTTTCTCTGAAATTCATCGAAATGAGGTGCTGAAAAGTAGGAGACCTCATCCACCACCCAAAATCTAACCAAGTGATCGAACTTTAGATATTTTAGCAGAAGGACTTTTTTTTTAATTTGATAAGCTTTTGTATGGATATTTTTTTCTTGTACACAATCACTCACTTCTTTGATAATGGCTTCTTTGATAATGAGTTATGAAATATTGAGCAGTTTATATTGAATTTCTCCTGGGAAACTTGAAAAATTTATTCAACCAAATGAATGGATATGAATATGTTATGATCTGATGTTAAGTCATTTGGTCAAATTTGGGGAACATAGTTGGCCCAAGAATATGCCAGAACCCTTTACTTACATACACGTATATATATATATATATATATATATATATATATATATATATATATATATATATATATTATCAAGAAGTATATATATATATGCGTGTGTGTGTGTGTATGTGTGTGTGTGTGTGTGCATGTATGTGTAAACACCTGCTCTCTTCAAAAATTTGGTCACCCACGAAGAAAAAGTCGATAAGATATAGCGTCAAAAAGAGACAATTAGAAAAGGTGTATGTATGTATATCTATCTATCTATCTATCTATCTATCTATCTATCTATCTATCTATCTATCTATCCCAATCCAGAACCTACATAGAACCCAATGTATGTATATGTATCGCGCGGAGTAAACATTTTCTTCTCGCAGCTGACGTCATCCATGCGAATCCGGGCGAATACTGATAACGGTCAGATTACACACACACACACACACACACACAGAGGGTGCGCGCGTGTGCACACACACACACACACGCATATACTTACCGTGTCTTTCTCGCATGAACATTCCCAACTACGCACACGATATATATATATATATATATATATATATATATATATATATGTGTGTGTGTGTGTGCGTGCGAGTGTGTGCATATATGTATGTAAGCCTGTGAGTGTATATAAATTTCATTATATTTCTTCCTTTTTTGGTCTGTTTTCCGAAATTTACTTATTTCAAAGTTCATCAAACATTACAATCATTTGTTCAAAGGTTATTTTGTTTCCAATTAAATTTTACTAAACAGCCAAATTGAAAGAAACTGAAACAAACTAAGCACGGAATGCCGAGTGGACATTTGCCAAAAGTAGCTTAATTTGACACAAGGCTATGAAAAAATGAGGAATCTACATAGACTCAATTTAAAATGAATTGTCGGCTCAACCAAGTTTTTGAATTCCACCCAAGAAGCGAAAACTCACTTTGAGTCTTACTCTCCTTTCATTCTCGTAAGTGCACTTATTATTTGTTTGTTTCTTTCTTTCTTACATACGTTCTTTCTTTCTTTCTTTCTTTCTTTCTTTTCTTCTACTGTGTCTCTTTTTGTTCTCTTCTCCTTTCCTTTCCTTTTTTATTTCTATCTCTCTTTTACTCTCTCTCTCTCTCCCTCTCTCTATTCTTTATTTTTCTCTCGTCAACACTTTTTATTAATTTCTCTCTCCCTCTTGTTCCCCACTTTCCCTCACTCTCTTTTACTTCTCATTCTTTTTCATGAAAAAATCTTTTTTCTTTCTTTTCATATTCTTTCTTTCTTTCTTTTCATATTCTTTCTTTCTTTCTTTTCATATTCTTTCTTTCTTTCTTTTCATATTCTTTCTTTCTTTCTTTTCATATTCTTTCTTTCTTTCTTTCTTTTCATATTTATTCTTTCTTTCTTTCTTTCTTTTCATATTTATTCTTTCTTTCTTTCTTTCTTTCTTTCTTTCTTTCTTTCTTTCTTTCTTTCTTATCTTTTCGGAATATTCCAGGTCAATTCAAGTGCCAATTTCAAGCACCATTCCATTTCAGAATTGGTTGCTGCATCGTAGCCAGCTGCAGGTTCATTGATAAATGAGCCAATCCCGTGGGTGGCATCTCAGACCCCACCGGCCACCGGCTAACCATATCATCTAACCGACAGCACGGGGGGTCTGCATTTAATTAAAATCGGACCTCGTCTCAACCCAAGGTTCTTATTTTCTTAACCTTGTCTTTTTTTTTTTTTTTTTTTCATATTTCCTTCTTTTATATTTTTTACTTCTTTTTTTAATACTTTCTTTTATTCGACATTTTCTCCGTTTCTTCTTTTTTTCTTTTTTTTAGATTTCTTCCACATTTTTTTCTCACGTTTTTTTTTTTAGCTTTTTTCTACTTTCATTCGTCTTTTCATTTTTATTGAATTTGTTTCTCTTTTTTTTTCTTCTTCTCAGTCTCGTCTTTTCTTCTTCATTTTTCATTTGATTTCCTTTACGTTTTCCATCCTATTAAAAATAATTTCTTTTCATCTTCCGTTTAATCCTCATCTGTTTATTTACTATTTCCTTTTCTTCTCCTTTTCCTCTTCCGTCTTTATTTTTATTCTATTTTTCTTTTTCTTCTCTCCTTCCTTCAGTATCTTATGTTCACTTCTTTTTCTTCTCTTTTTCCTCCTTTTTTATTTTTACGCTTTCTTTTTTTTTCTTCTCTTCTTTTTCTTCTTCTTCCCTCTTTTTCTTGCCATCTTTTTCTACTCCTCCTTCCTTTTCTTGGATGACTTTTTCTTTTCCTCCTACTTACAACGCTATACAGCCAAATCGATGTGAGAAGATTGTGTTGAGCCATAACTCTTTCATTGGAAATAAAGTTTCGAATTCCTGACTTTTCATCTGGTTTAGAACATCGGCCATCAACACCGGAGGAGAAATGCACAAATACCTTTGTTACAAGGCTGTCATGCATCGAGCATTCTTTTCATCTGTATATACCTCATGGTGATCGTGGATTTAACAAATATTTAGAAATAAAAAAAATAAAATACAAAAAGCGTATTATGACTTCGTTGTCAGTCTGCCAATGTTTTGACTCTTTCTTGTGGATTATCCTAAAAGGATGGAGTGGGAAACTACCGATATTTTTCTTTTTTTGAGAGGGAAATGGGTGGGGATATAGAACGAGATCAGGTGTTTGAGGTGCAAGAGTAACTTATAGACAGAAGGTGTGAGTTACTGCTATCATCGTTCTGAGTTTCTCCTTGTTTTTTTCTTCAGTACCACAAACGACAAAACATCTTGCTAACTGGCAGTTCCTCATATATATATATATATATATATATATATATATATATATATATATATATATATATATTATATAAACAGTCAGGGAACTGGGAAGAATATACTTATGTGATGATTAATGTTGAGTGATTCTCACTTAGTGCCGCATTTACATAGCCTTGTACCAGACTAAGTTTACTAAATATGTATAATGAAAGGAGCAGAAAATCGTCAGATAAACTGAAAGTTTCTCTCAGCGTCTCTCATCGGAAAGTATTTATGATAGTATTTTCATAATGTTTTTAAAACTAAAAACTTATAAAATTAAAACTTATAAAATTAAAACTTATAAAATTAAAACTTATAAAATTAAAACTTATAAAATTAAAACTTATAAAATTAAAACTTATAAAATTAAAACTTATAAAATTGTTAAAATGACAATACTTTTCTTGCAAAACTTTTCTTTTTGTATCGTTATAGCCAAACATTTGTAGATTATTTTGCAAGTTAAATAGATTAATTCATGACGATTGTCTATGATTATTTGGAATCTAAATTCCTGTCACTGCAAATTAATACGACGCCCATTAATAGATTATTCCTTTTTCTTGCACTTCTGTTGTTATTATAGCATAAATATCAGTACTAGAAGTATCTGCGAACTTTCAATGGAAAGTAAGTAATAATAACTCTCCTGAATAACCCAGAGATTTTATCAGTATTCTGGATTATTTTAGGAACTAGAATTTTGGGGCAACACGCAAACGCGTGTTGAAATCCTCATCAGAATATATATATATATATATATATATATATATATATATATATATATATATATATATATATATATATAATTTAATAAATTAAAACAAAAATAAAGCGTTAGGAAAATGGCTGACTGAAATCGCCTGAAGATACCGAAAAGTTGAAACCAAGGTAGCGGAATCGACTTATCTTCTATTTTTATACTTATATATATATATATATATATATATATATATATATATATATATATATATATATATATATATACGGTAAACCCAAAATATTGGCAAAATCAACATAAAGCCTTCCAGATCAGCAAGAAGAAAAACAACCTATAAAACAAAAACAAAAAACGATAGAATCCCACAAAGGTAAAATGAAAAGTAAAAAGTAAAATATATATATATATATATATATATATATATATATATTGGGTTAATATGGTTAGAACTGTGTAAAAAAAAAAAACATATTTTAAATCAATTAATTTATAATATTAATGCTCTGTAAATTTACATTTTGCACTATTTTGTAAAATAAAAAATATCTATAAGAACACCGAATTATATATCTAACTGTTCTTTTTTTTATTTTGTACACACACACACACACATATATATATATATATATATATATATATATATATATATATATATATATATTCTTAGGAGAAGTGCTGAAAAGTTATCGGCTCGCCCAAGATGTGATTCCCAAAGTAAATTCAGAAATGTACTGAATCGTGCTCTCATAGATCTTCAACGTGCACTCACAGACGTCATGTCATCTCCTCCTTCAGACAGACATATTCGTGCAATAAAATAAAATAAAGCGTCCTTCTTTATTCCACCGTATTTTCTTGATATTTCTCTGCCGCACCCCACCCCCGCCTTCGTTACCAAACCGAACAACTCATTGCTTCTTTCCCTTTTATATCCTTACAGTTCCTACTTAGCTGAGCGCCACTATTTTTTTAAAACTTTTCCAAAAATGAACTTCACATTTTTAAACTTCTACACTCCAAAACATTTCCATTTCTCGCGCACTTTTCAAAATTCGGCACAAAATCCGCCATCAAATTTTTTTGGACGGTTTGGTTAAATGAAATGTAATGACTTTTTCTCTTCCCGTTTCTCTTAATCTTTAACTATCTGAGGTCGATTTTGTAAATCACACAGTCTTTTTTGCTAATTACCCTTCTATGTTTCTTTACATAAATCCAAAACCTTCTATATATTCCTATTTACATACTAAAATGCACGCAAGCGCACACAATAATATATATATATATATATATATATATATATATATATATATATATATATAATAAAAGGCTTAAACACTAATATTCCATGGTCATCATTTTTTCCATTGGAATCGTAAATATGATCCAATTCATCAGACCTACGAATTCAAAAAAAAACAGAAAAGAACAACTCGGAAATAAAAAATAGAATTTAGAGAGTGTGTAAGTATGAGAGTGTGGGACGAATGTTTAGTGTTAAAGAGAGGGGTAACAGACGAGAGAAGGTGGGAGATTAAAACTTAACAGAGAGGTTTTTTTTTACTAGAGGTGAGTGGAAGGGGGAAATATGAATGTTGTCGGATGTCTAATACATTAAAGATACATTTCGTGGTGACATATGTATTTACGATTCCAATGGAATAAATTATAACCATGGAATATTAGTGTTTAAGCCTTTTTTATTATATCCTTACTCTGTCCTGGACATTGAGTTCTACCTGGATTCTATCCTCTCGGAATTTTTTATTCAAAAAATATACATGTATGTGTATGCCCCAATGTATATATATTTATATATTTTGCATATGTATGTGTATATTTACCACTAATATTATCTATCTATCTATCTATCTATCTATATATATATATATATGTTGAGACAATGTTAAGATGTCTGTTAATCTTGGCTTCTTCCGGTCAGAATAAAATGACAAACGATGCTTAAAGATGAATGCCTTTGGACTTTTGAGGATAACAGGAGTAACTTTAGCAATACACGTGGTTTATCAAGGTTTTTATAAGATGTCCCCTCACCTCAACATGTGTTTCTGATACTATTATAGATCATACAAACACACATATATATATATATATATATATATATATATATATATATATATATATATATATATATATATATATAAAAGTGAATATAGAAGTCAACACTTAGAGGCGACAGTCTGTTTCATGCTATACACAATCGTCAGGCCACGTGTGCTGTTACTTTTCTCGGCTATTTATGTATATACGGGTCAGTGGTGCATTGTGGGTAGTCTATTATGGCGGTTATTTTACTGGAAGTCGTTTATTTATTTATTTGGGTTAAATTATTTTGCTTGTTTTTATTTATTTTTATTTTTGTTTAATCGTTTCTTTTATTAACGTAGTAAAAAATTGTTTATATCACTTATTTAATAGTTTTGTTTTGGTTTGAGAATTTAATTAAAGCTATTTGATCGGTATTGGGGTTGATTGTTCTAGTTTAGTATGTGAGTGTTGCTGGGAATCCGCTATCTCTTAGGGCTGTTTCATAGTCTTTCTTAGCTTTGTTAATAATTGATTTATTGGAGGAATTGTCGGAAAGCCTGCGGTTAATCGATTTTGGTATCTGTTTGATTATAGAAGGCGGGTGGTTGGAAGATGTGTGTATGTAGAGTGGTTTCATTAGGTTTTCTATATGGTTTATATGTGCCTTTTCTTAGGTTGAAGGTAACATCTAGAAAATCTACTTCGTTTAGGTTAGTTTTTATATCGATGTCGAATCCGTTATTTTTAAAAATCTTACTCACATACTCACCACAGAACACAAAAAAGGCCAACAGGAGAAGAAATATCATATGGTTCAACCCACCGTACAGCAAAAACGTAAAAACAAACGTAGGAAAAATATTCTTCAAACTCTTACACAGACACTTCTCGGAATCAAGCACCCTGCACAAAATATTCAACAAAAACACAGTAAAAATCAGCTACAGTTGCACTGAGAACATGCAAAATAATAAAAAAGCACAACAGGAAAATGATCAACAAACCACACGAACAAATTAAACCCACGTGCAACTGCAGAATAAAGAACGAATGTCCCTTAAACGGAAATTGTTTACAAAACAATGTCATATAGCAAGCCACGATAAAATCACCCGTATATACATAAATAGCCGAGAAAAATAACAGCACACGTGGCCTGACGATTGCATATAGCATGAAACAGACTGTCGCCTCTAAGTGTTGACTTCTATGTTAACTTTTATATTTACACACGCTCTATCTCTGATATTGAGCACTTTATCCCATAAATATAGCACACCTTAAGATTTTATTTCTTATATATATATATATATATATATATATATATATATATATATATATATATATATATGCGTGTATATTTTAACATAAATATATTGTAGGATTTTTTTAACATACTTATGTTATAATTTTCGAATAAATTATATTTACTCTACTCTGTATTGAGCATTCTTTTAAGAATAGCATTTTGGGGTTATTGGAATTTAGTCCATATACACTAATCCTACACTTGTATATATATATATATATATATATATAGATAGATAGATAGATATAATATTTTTTGTTTAAAAATATGATTCCTTCGCTTCATAAGAGTTCTCATGTTTCAAAAACGAGAGCCGAAAACATCTAAATAATTATTAAAATTAAGTTGAATTGAGGTGTTTAGTCCCGTTTCATCTTCAAGCGAAATTTTAGGAATAAGCTATGTCTTGGTTTACGTGTGTTTTTAGTCATGGTTCGTTATAACATTCGTTATTGTGGGAGTGGTTATACTAGTTTTCTTCGTTAAGTGGTCAGAGAGTAAATTCTTATCTATAGATTCATCATTTTCTGAGAGGTTTTATTAAGGTTGGGTAGGGTATCTATTTCAAGGTTAATGTTTGCGGTCACCCTTTAATTGGTTCTCAGTGCGTGATATATACAGCGATATAGATGGATAGAGTGGATGAGTTTCCTAAATTATACATTGTTTTAATATCCATGGTAAGAAAACTAGTAAATTATATATGTGTGTGTGTGTGTGTATGTTTATGTATGTGTGTGTATATGTGTATGTGCATATGAGTGTGTGAGTGCGTTATAAAGGTTATATTTAGTGGGTTCAGTTATTTCAAGAGACGTCCGATTTTTTTTAACATTGAAATTAACGTCCGCTGGCCTAGATGTTCAAGAGAAAATATGACTCACGCATGAGTACTTTGGGCTTTCGGTCTGTACACACGTTAACATTCACTTTTTAAAAAACGGAGATGCCATCAAAAACAGGTGCACTCAATAACCTCCAAAGAGATGATGTCTGAATCTACTAATTGGTTAAAAATTATATAAATTTATATATATATATATATATATATATATATATATATATATATATATATATATATATATATATATATATATATATATATATATATATATATATATATATATATATATATATATATATATATATATATATGTAAAAATATGACAAACTATAAAAAACCTTTCCAGTTTCTCATATTTTTCTAAAGACTGTTGATATAGAAAATTATACTAAATTATATATCGTTATATATATATATATATATATATATATATTATAAATTAATTGATTTGAAATATGTTTTTTCGCTACACAGTTAATTAAACCGACGATGGATGTGTACTGATATATATATATATATATATATATATATATATATATAGACAGAAGGTGCGATGGGTAAATTTTCGTCATATTTTATTTTAATTTTATATTCGCGCATGCACGTTGTTTGGGTTTGATTTTGTCGGCTACAGAGTCTAGTAGGATCAGTTGGGCACGGTCTGTTGTTACGGGTTTAATAGTGATTACGAAGCTATTTCGAGTGCT